TTATAAATAGAGCACATTTTTGCACAAGTTACATTTGGCCTAATAGGGAACATTACCCAAAGTGATGCCACAGACTCAAAAAAAATAGTGGTTTCTTAATTCTTACAAAACTGCTTTCCCTATCTAAAACTGTCAGGTACTATGGAGGGTGATTTCTGGCCTCCCTTGGGACACAGGCTGGTTCCCTATTGTTGACGTTATATGTGAGATGTTTTCCTTCCCTTTGAGGGCACCTTCTGAGAAAGAAGGGATAGCAGGGTGGCTGGGGATTGCTCAGTAGAGCTCCTGTCTTTTGGCCACTATGTGCTAAGGTGAGGCGACAGGCATCCCTCCTGTGTTTGCTGCCCTACTGGACACAGTCTCCACTTAGGCAGTGGAAGGCGGGAGCTCTCTCTTTTCATTACACGCCCCAGGTAGACACAATTCTAGGAGCAGTTTCTGCCTTGGTTTTTACGAAGTTTCAGTCATGCAGGATGAATATGTCCTAGAGATGTACTTTACAGTGTAGAGCTTATGGTTAACAGCACTGTATTGTCCACTTCAAACTTTATGAAGACGGTAGCTCTTACATTAAGGGTTCTTATCACCATAATAACAGTAATAAATTTGGAGGTGATGAATAGATTTACGACATATATAGTAGTGACGACTTCACAGTATGTATTTATCTCCAAACTCACCAAGTTGTATACATTAAATAGGTCCAGCTTTTTGTATATCCATCATAAATTTTTTTCAAAAAAAAAAAAAGCATTGGGGGGATTGAGTGTGAGTTTTCTCACTCCTGTTCTCATGAGGACATGCTGTTCTCAAGATGCAAGAGGAGTGGAGACAGACATTTATTTTTTAGATCTTTTACAGTTTTCTTCCACCAGATACTCCCCAGTTTTCTTTTAATTTTTTTAATGTTTATTTATTATTTTTGAAAGAGAGACAGAGAGCAAGGAGGGGCAGAAAGAGGGAGACACAGAATCTGAAGCAGGCTCCAGGCTCTGAGCTGTCAGCACAGAGCCTGATACGGGGCTTGAACTCACAAACCGTGAGATCATGACCTGAGCCAAAGTCAGACACTTAACCAACTGAGCCACCCAGGCACCCCTCCCCAGTTTTTTTTTTTTTTTTTTTTTAAGGAATCGCCTTTATTATTTGTTTAATGTTACTAAAAGATCTGAATATGTATTTTCTGTAACAGTTCAGAGGTTGCTGTGCATTAAAAGCTTTCAACCAGGGTTAGTACCACTTTTCACGTGTAAGTGGATTTTTATTCTTTCATATTCCAACATCAGGAGAAGTGCAAATTTTCAGTTAAAGTTGGGGGGTGGGGCTCAAAATAAGATTTCATCTGGATTAGTCTGAGTCCATCTTTTTTTTCCCCTCAAGAAAGAAACAAATCAGAGAAATTGGGTCAAAGGCTTCTAAATTTCTTCTTTTTTTCTGTCATCACTTCCTGCTTTTCTCTCCTGGGTGTTTTGCCAAATGCATTAACAAGCATTGATTGTGCTGAATTTTAATCCCTTCTGTATACTTGTATACTTTGGGCCCCTCAGTGAGCCCGTGCTTCAGTACGATTCACATCTCAGGCACCAGGCAGTCTTATGTCTGCCAGCTGAGGGAACTGGTCAGCCTACGGTCGGGATTCACAGTGGCCACGCTTGGAGCCCGGAGCTCCGGGCCATGCAGGGAGTGGCAGTCTAGGAAGAGAAACTCGGTGCCTTGCCATCATATGGTAAGTTTGCAGGATAAGTATTATGCAGAATCAACCGCTCAGGAATATGGTATCTTCGCGAGACACAAACCAGTATTTGTGGACTTGCTGGGGTGGCTCCCTTTCTCCTCTGTTGATCTGGGGGGTGGGGAGTGGATTTGGTGAGCTTTGCTTATGCATGAAGAAGAAAAGGCAGAATGTTTTAGAGAACCTACTAGCTCACTGGAGGACGGGGGAGAGTGGCAGCTCACGTCCTGGTACGCACAGGGACACACAGCTGTGTTCCAGCTGGGACCAGCACCCCAGGCCAGCGTGGCTGAGTGGAGGAAAGCAGATCTACACCATTGCAGACCTGCTTCTACCTGGGACAAGGGGAGAACTGTGACCTCATCGTGGTTCTAGGGGGCTGATGCAGGTTGGAGCAATACCTAGGGGAAGATACTGACAAACAAGGTGTGTAACTGAAGTTCAGAGGTAGGGCTCCAAGTCTACCCAGGAACCAGAAGAAACAAAGCTTAGGGCCTACCATTAGCTCATTTGGGCCTTGAGCTAGGTGAGGGATGTGCAGAGAAGCTGTGGTCTGGAAAACAAAAAGGGGCACCTGGACAGGGGCTTAGGAGGCCTAAGGTCTGTGAGATCAGAGTGGACCATGTCCCTTCTGAGCCTCAGCACTTTATCTGCAAAATGGAATCATATAAAGAAAAGCACTCCTTATTTTCATTAGTCTTTCTATATAGAGGAAGCCAAAATGTCACTGAAGAAAGCCAGAGCTCCCTAAATGCTGTC